TGTACTGACAGTTACAATTGTTTTTAGATGGACCACATACATGCATCCATCTTTAAGATGGGTGCTCTGTACCTCTGGACCGCATATTGTAGAAATGTGATCGAAAAAATTTTCCTTATTTTTTTAGGGTGTAGGCCTGATTTTAATAAATGCAAAGGCCAAGTTTCCACACTTTTCCAATCCCTTGGCTTAATTAAGTACTGTTACCCTTCTTCCTAATAGCAAGTTGTGCGCATGCTATTGAGTAGTGAGTGAACAATAGTAATAATAATGGAAAATTATTAGAATATGTTTTATCTATCATTTGACATTTTAAACGGTTCCAACTCATGATCATACATATTTGGATAGAATTTTTTTAATTAAATAAAAAATAATTTAAAAATTAAGTAGTTCATCTCTTTAATATATTTAACAAATTTTTAAAATAACAATTATAATTATAATTCATCAAATAAGCAAAAATGATAATAGAAATCAAACACTATAAGTCAAGTATCTAAATTGGTGCACGGAGAAGAACTTGACAATAAGGAAAAAGTTCATATAAGCGTGAGGCCCTAAATAATCCAATTAAGGAAAAAGTTCATATAAGCGTGAGGCCTTAAATAATCCAATTAAGTCACATCTAAAAAATTCATTAGAAGAGGTTATTTAGATGTTGAAAAACCCTAAATTCAATCATCTCAACCTCAGGATATGTGGACACGAGAAAAAATAGATTTTAAGTTTTGAAAATAGAGTATTTTGTTATTTATTATCTAGATCATTAATTTTCAGGATTTTTAAGTGTTCATGGGCCTACTCGATCTACAATATTTTTTAATTTTTTAAATTTTTAATTTTATAATTTTATAATTAAAAATAAAAATAAATTTTTGGAGCATCAAAAAAAAAAATTGATACTAAAAATATATACGTCAGCACTATTTAAAGATGCGCCATACTTTGATTGTTTACGGACTCGGCCATGTACAAACCACACCCTAATGACATTGACGCCGCTTCCCTTTGTTCACAATGGCCATCGATACCCCAAGTTGTGATTAAAAATCACAAACCCAGCCAATCCATTCTACATCTAATGGATTAAGGTATTTGTGATTTTTAATAACAATAATAATAATAATAATAATAATAATAATAATAATAACAATAACAATAATAATAGAGAAAATTTACATAAGGTTGCAACTTTATACTATAGAAGTAAGGTGCACATCAAAAATCGAAAAGAGTGATCCAAAGTTGGAAAACCTTCCAATTTGATCATTTTGACATCGAGGTGTTTCGATATAAAGAAGAAAAAAACTTTCAATTTCTAAAAATAGTATATATTGTAATAAGTTATCTGGACTATCTATTCCCAAAATTATCATGTGTTTATAGATCTGATCGATCTTAACCATTTTTTAAACTTTAAATTTCATAATTGGAATTGAACATGGATTTCAAGCTATTTTAAGATTTTCGACATCAGAATTACATATTCTCGCAAAATTTAGAGGTGCCTCTTATATGTATAAAATGGGCAACTTACGTAAACCTCATCAATAATAATAATAATAATAATAATAAGAATAAGACATGAATCCATAAACAAAAAAAACTAGGTATTCAGTGGTGTGATGCTCAATTACATGAGTAATGTTGGGGGTTGGTGGATGGTGTGACACCTTTGTTTGTGTATGGAAGGTCAAGGGTTTGCAGCACTCCTTTTTGCTTATTTTGGGAGAGCAAATTTGCCTATATATAAATCATA